ACTCAAGGATACATAGTAAACTTCAATACCCTCCTTCACTGTCCTCATCCCATTTTTCTCCTCTCCACCTTTTATAATACATACATATAGACTATGTAGATGTTTTTTTAAAAAAATTTGGCCTCACTATATCACTCTTTAACTTGCTCCTTTATACCTAAAAATAGGTTTTGAAAAGCATTTCATGTAAGGACTTAACCATTTACTTCATTTTTTAAAATGCTTTTTTAAATTTTATTTTATTTTTTTATTTTATTTATATCTTTATTGTTAAATGTAGAATGTATTACAGATGTTCCACATTTTTTCCCCCACTGACTCCCTCCTCCCCACTCCCGCCTCCCTCCCGCCTTTTCCCACACTGTTGTCTGTGTCCATTGGTTATGCATATAAGTTCTTTGGTTTATTTCTTCCCACCCCCCCAGCCCCTTTCCCTTTGAGGTTTGTCAGTTTAGCAACCAATTTGTACTTCTTAATCCCTTCACCTTTTTCACCCATTCCCTCAAACCCCCTCCCATCTGGCAACCAACAAAATGTTCTCTGTATCTATGAGAATGTTTCTGTTCTATCTGTTCATTTTGTTTGTAGATTCCATTGTTGATAGATATGTATTCATTGCCATTTTGTTTGTTCATATATTTTATCTTTTTCTTCCAAAAGACCCTTCATCATTTCATATAATAACGGTTAGGTGGTGATGAACTCCTTTAACTTTTTCTTGTCTGGTAAAGTCTTTATATGGCCATCGATTCTAAATGACAGCTTTGCAGGATAAAGTAATCTTGGTTGTAGGTTCTTGCTTTCCATCACTCTGAATATTTCTTGCCACTCCCTTCTGGCCTGCAAAGTTTCTTTCTTCTGATAGCCTTATGGGAACTCCCTTGTAGGTAACTAGCTGCCTTTCTCTTGCTGCTTTTAAGATTCTCTCTTTGTCTTGAACCTTTTGCATTTTGATGATGATGCATCTTGGTGTGGGCCTCCTGGGGTTCATCTTGTTTGGGACTCTCTGTGCTTCCTGGACTTGTATGTCTGTTTCCTTCACCAAGTTAGGAAAGTTTTCTGCCATTATTGTTTCAAACAGGTTTTCGATTTCTTGTTTTCTCTCTTCTCCTTCCGGCACCCCCAAGATGCGAATGTTGGCACGCTTGAGGTTGTCCCAGAGGCTCCTTACACTATCCTCATTTTTTTGGATTCTTTTTTCTTTTTGCTGTTCTGATTGGGCGTTTTTTGCTTCCTTATATTCCAAATCGATGGTTTGCTCCTTGGATTTACGTGCTCTATTATTGAAGCTGTGTAAATTATTCTTTATTTCAGTTAAAGCCTCCTTCGTTTCTAACTGTGCATCGATCATTTCTGACTGGTCCTTTTTTATGCTCTTGAGGCCCTCACTGAGTTCATTGAGCATCCTTATAAGCAGTATTTTGAACTCAGCATCTGTTAGGTTGCTTATCTCCATTTCGCTTAGTTCTTTTCTTGGGGTTTTGTTCTGTTCTTTCATTTGGGACCTGTTTCTTTGTCTCCCCATTTTGGCTGCCTCCCTGTGTTTGTTTCTGTGTATTACTTAATGAGAGGTATGGGGCTAGCTGAGACCAGATGCTGCTCGTTTGAAAAAATTTAGGAAAACCTGAAGCAGGATCCAAGTCAGGCCAATCCTATGGTTAAGCAAGTGCCAACAGCTTGGGTGGGCCTGAAAGTTGGGTGGGGCAGGGCCTCAGGGAGTCAGCAGGGCGGGGCTACCATTGTGAGCCAGGTCGCTGGAGCCCAGATATAGCGGTGTCTGCCACCCCAGGGAAGGGCTCACCAAAGGAACAAAGGCCTCTGACAGCACGTTTGTCCCGGAGAAAGCCCCCTCTCCAGTCCTCGCTCCAGTGCCAAACAGCTCAGTTCTTCCCTGTATGTCTCTGGTTCCCCTCCAGCTGCCTCCCCTCCAAGCTTAGAGGGAGAGAGTCCGATAAGTCCGTGCGCGGGCCCTTTAAGGAGCTGCCTGGGGCTCCAGCCACCTCAGCCTCCCTGAGCCTCAGTTCCCGCTGGTTTTTCCAGCCAGAAGTGATGGGGATTCTCTTCCTGGCACTGGAACCCTGAGCGGGGCACCTGGTGTGGGATGGGGATCCCTCAGTCCTCAGGAAGGACCTTCCCAGCCGAGGTGTCCTCCTGATTTTTATCCGCCTCACGTGGGTGTGGGACCAGCCCGTCTGCCTCCACCCTCCCACCAGTCTAGATGTGGCTGCTGTTTTAATTCCGTAGTTGTAGGACTTCCATTCAGCTTGATTTCAAGCAGTTTTGAATGGTGGTTGTTCTGTAGTTTTGTTGTAACTTGGATGTGGTTGTGGGAGGACGTGATACCGCGTTTACCTACCCGCCATCTTGACCGCAAGTCTCTAAAATGCTTTTTTTAATTGATTTTTTTACAGTGAGAGATAGAAACATCGGTGACAGAAATATCCATCAGCTGCCTCCTGAACGCCCCCTGCTGGGGATCAAGCCTGCAACCCGGGCATGTGCCCTGACTAGGAATTGAACCAGAACCTCTCAGTCCATGGGACAATGCTCAACCTACTGAGCCACACCGGCTGGCAACCATTTACTTCATTTTAAGAAGTGTCGTATAGTAGTCCACAGTGTGCGAATACCCACACTCACTTCACTTTTCCTTTACTGATGAACATTTAAACATGCCTCTTTGAACACCGGTGAAAATACTTGTGGAGAGTCAATTCACTGAGGCAGAATTCCTGAGTTAAGGATAAGTGCATTTTAAGTTTTGATAGATGGCAACTTGCCCAGAGAATGCCTGTGGAGTTTCGGTGCCTGATGTGTCAAAGGGGCAACCCGCACCCAGGCCCCACCCCCACCAGCCACTGGCGCCCGGCTCTCCTCCAGGTGCTGTCCTGGAGGCGACCGTGTGCATTTCCCCAGCACGGAGCACGGTGCATTCGTGGGAAGAATTAGATAAATGAGGGGAGGAGACATGGCACTGCCTTTCTTTTTCCTTCTAGGAAAAGGAAGCAACATTCAAATTAGTGATTCACCAGGGATGATATTAAAAATATTTAATAACCTGTGTTAGGACCACAAACCCAGTTGGAGGCCCTGCCTTAGTGCCCCCTGTTCAGCCAGACATTAACCCTTTAGATAGCTCTACAGAGGGGTGTGTGTGGGGGATGGGGTGGGGATGTCCCAAGGAAGGGGCTCATGAGTACATACAGGACTGGTCATACCATAGTGCATAAAGGCTAATGTCACTGGCAGCCCAAAGGGCTGTGGGAATCTGAGGAGTAGGACCCTGAGTAAACGTCAAGAAGGAAGATACTTTCTTGCAGAATTTGGGCTAGGAGGAGAAGCAAGCAGGCCCAGGGGCAGCTGGGTCAAGGCCAGCCCTGACTCTACTTCCCTTCTCTGTATATGTGTCATCCTTGGGGTCTCGCCTAGTCCTAATCTGCCCAAAGAAACACACATTGATCTGGGCAAATATACTCTGTTGGAAAGAAACACTAAACTGGTTATTTCTGTCATATGAGAAAAATTCCATCAAACCCTCCCTGACTCCAGTTTTATTTTGTGTGGTAGAAAACAAGATTCCAAACTGACCTATTTTTCCTCCATACTGGGTTAAAAACCACAGAACTAACCTCAGACTGTGGAGCCAGCCCCTGGAGACAGCTCATAGCTTTCTGTCAATAGGGCCTAGAGGGGAAACTGAGAGGCAAAAAGGGAGAGCTATCTGAGGTCAAAGAGGTATTCAGGAGCAGAGGCAAAAACAGGGCAAAGAGCTGCTGGGGGTGGGCATCACGTTTCGTGCTCAGATGGCGGATTGTGGCTTGAGGTGGGGATGCAGGAAGCTGCTGGTGGGTGAGGGAGAATCCAGGGGCTCAGGCCAATTGTCCCTATCTGCATAACCCAGGACCCAGGAATGTTTAATCCATTTAAAGAGAAACACTGGAGAGGCCAACAAGCCTCAGGAGACCTTGCTTCCCAGTTCAGGCCAACAGAGGCCAGCCCATCCTCTGCCTGGGGGATGGGTGGGGAAGACGCCATCTTTGTCTCTAGGTCCAGGTCCATAGGTCATTTGGCACCATCTCCTGCCTATCAGATCGCAGGCAGGACGGGCGGTTCTTCCCTCTTCTCTCAAGGCCCTTTGCACTACACCCTATAGCCTTCTGCACTGGGGTGCCTGATTGGTGATGGAAACAGTGAGGCCCAGGGCTGCTCATGGAACCATGAAGGAGCAGGAACTTAAGGGGTGCTTCTTAGATCTGCAGGCCAGAGAACACCTGGAAACAAAGACGTTTATTTTTCCTTTTAGCTCAGAGGATGGAGAGGGCATTGTCTTCCATAGAAAAACGCCGAAAACTCCTTTTTTTTTTTTTTTTTTTTTACTGCCCCTCTGAGCATGATCAGATGTTTAAACAGGGTCCCGAGTTTCCAGCGCGTTGTGAAGAGCTGCAGAACGCAAGCGCCTGGGGGGAACTGTGCTGGGGGAGGGAGGGCAATCTGCACTCGGAGAGGCGGGGGAGCGATCCACCGATTTAAGGCCCCATCTCTTCGGGGTCCCTCACAGCGGTCCAAAGTGTTTCCGCCGGGACCTGGGAGTCTAGCTCACCTGGAGGACGCCGGGTGTCCACGCCCAGGGGGCGCTGCAGACTGGTGCCCACAATCGAGGACCAACTACCTGCCCTCGCGTCCCTCTCCCGGACAGCGCCTCAGTGCCCTAGCCCCGTGCGGAAGGGGGTGCGCCCGGGTCCCCACCAAACCCGAGCAGCGGAGTTGAAACGCCGGGAAGCACTGCCTGCAGGGCCCACGGCTCCCGAGACTAGCAATGCTCTATCCGAGCGGTGCGGGAGGGGGCGGCGCGGGGGCGGGGCCTGAGCGCCGGGGGAGGGGCGACCCAAGGGGCCGGGCTGGGTGGCTCAGGGGGGCGGGGTTCTAGGGGGTGGGGACTGGGGCTGGTCTGGAGACCTGGCGAGCTGGGGGTGGGGGTCTAGTTTTTGCTACGGCTTAGGGCCTGTGGGTTTATTATAAGGCGGAGCTCGGCGGGAGAGGTGCGAGCGGGAGCCGAGCTGAGTCGGGAGGAATCCAGCCGTAGAGAGCGGACTGCAGCCGGCTGACCCCACGCCCCTCGGCCAGGACACCGCACGCGGGGTATCGCCCAAAGGAGCCGAGCGCAGCGCACTCAGCGGTGCCCGCCCCGAGCCCCGCGCAGTCCGGGCAGCCCCGACCCGCGCAGCCCGCCGCGCCCCCGCCACTGGTCAGGGCAGCATGAGGCGCGCGGCGCTCTGGCTCTGGCTCTGCGCGTTGGCGCTGCGCCTGCAGCCGGTCCTCCCGGTGAGTGCGGCCGGGGCCGGGCTGGGAGGCGGCGGGAAGCCGGGGCTTGCAGACCAGATGCCGGCGGCGGCACGTGGAGGGGGAGGGGAACCTTGGACTTACCTTCCCGCGCTAGCCCTGAGACGATGAACCCCGAAACCCGGACTCCCACCCCAGTTGCCTCCGCCGTCGGTGGGCGCCGGGTGGGTTCCGCCACTCCGGGCTGGGGGCTGGGGCGCCCCGCGGAACGCAGCCTGCGCTGGGGCCCCGCGCTCAATTATGTAAAACGGCTCCACATGCGTCGGAGCCCGCCAGCCTGCGGCGGCACTCGGGTCACCGGCTCCCAACCCGTCACCCCGGGCGCCGCGGTGGCCAGGCCCCCGCCGGTGACCCGAGGGGATGCAGTGACCGTGGCCACAGCGCCCCTCCCGCAGACCCTAATTCAAATCAGACCCGCCGAGCCCAGGCGCCCGGCCCTTTCGGCGGAGGCGAGTTTGGGCGCAGCGGAGCCCGCGCGGGAGCAGGCGGGCGCGTTTGCCAAGGAGCGGGGGCCGGGGCTGCGGGCCGGCGGGCGGAGGTGGGGCCCTCGGGCTTTCCGTTGGCTGTCTGAGGCCGAGCTGGCAGCGGGAGGTTCCGGGAAGTTGGCCCCACAGCGCTAGAGAGCCACAGGAACCCAACTTCTGGACTGAAGTTGTGCTGCCCGCGAAGGGGCGCGTGCCCGCGCTGAGGACGGGCGGGTGGGCGCGCGGCTTCCCCGAGAGTGGACCTGGGATGGCCCTTCCCCTCCCCCGGCCCGGCTTTGTGCTGGAGCCGCACGTTGGGAAGGCGGGTCCCTTGGCCCGCCCAGTGGAGCTGGGGGAAAGATGGACAAATGTGGAGCCCGAGACCGGGGGGGAGGCCTTTGGGTAGGACTCCAGCATCCACCATTGACGCGGAGTGGGTCCCCTCTAGAGAGGGACTTGGCCGACAAAGAGTATCCCGAGGGTCCCCAGAAAGTGATCTCCCGCCCTGGCTGCCGGCCGCTAGCCCGCCTTCCCCAATGGGGGCGCTTTGTTCTCGGCCCCTGTAACCCATTCCTGGGAACCGCCCCGCAGCGCCAGCCCTGACGTGGGCTGGGACCCAGGCCGCCGCCAGGTGTCAGCGCTGGCTGCCGGGTGCCCACGGCCACCCACCCCCAGCCCCCACTCCCGGTTCTAGAGCCCTGAGGTCTTCTCCGCGGGCTGGGTCGGCCAACCGCCATCCCCGGGAATGGAGAGGGGGAGCGAGGGGCTCTTCCCCTTCCGGAAGTGGCCGTCTCTCGCCACCACATCTGGACGGCTCGACTTCCCGGGCTCTGGCAAAGGGAGGCACGTGGGCAGGGAAGGAGCACCGGCCCGGGGTGGGTCCTCCACCTGTAATGTGGAATCTGGACTAGTTTGTCATCCACGCCGGTCCTCTGTAGGCTCTTACCTCTAGAATAATAGTAGCCCCCCGTTCTTGAGAGCTTTGGGTATCTTACAGGGTCTGGCTCAGGTGAGGTGCTATCCAGGCGGACTTGTGAAGTGCCCTCCCTGCTCCCCAGGTGACTTGTGTTTGGAGGCATTTGGAAGTGAGGGGAAGGTCCCTGATGCCTCTTGAATTGTTGATGGAGCGTGTGCGGGGTGCCTTATTTGGGGTAGCCATGGGGACAGATAGGATTTCTGAGCAGGGTCTTAAGTGCAATCCTGGCTTTTGGGTTTAAGAATTTGACGTCTGAATTCTCCTTTGCTTTTTAGGGCTGTGGCTTCTGTGGGACTCAGTTTACGTCTTGAATCATAGTTAATATTCTGGGGGAGAAAGTGAAGGTGTTTGGCTGACTTTCCTTGCCCACCTGGCCTTACCTGGCTGCTCCATTCTCCCCAGGCCCACGATGAAGCCTCAGCAAGGATGCTGAGGTGGGGTTCTCGCCTGTTTTCAGCCAGAATCCGGAAGAGTGGTGGTTTCTTTGACCGCCTGGGTTGAGGCTGGCATGCCTGTGAGCTCAGATCCCAGAGTGACCGTTAACACGGGGAGGCAGATGGGGTTTGAGATTCTCTGTGGACCATGTTTCCCAGAGTTCTTTTGTACTGGGAAAGGGCATATGCTGCCCTATGGGGGCACTTCTTTCTGCCTAGAAACTTTGACACTTTATGGAGACACAGGGCCCTGGAGCCCTTTGAGTCTCAAGGAGGAAAGGAGGGAGGGAGGGAACTTCTTAGAGCTGAGGTGGTGGGAGGGCTTCCTGGTGGGGGTGGGTGAGCTGAGCCTGAAAGCCCTGAGCTTTGAGGTCAGGCTCTGCTTGGAGCTTAGGTCTTTTCTTCCTTCTCTTTCTCTCCCCCACCTCCCTCTCTCAGCCCCTCTCCCCCTCTCTCTCCCTCTCCCTCCCTCCCTTCCTTCCTTTCTTTTCTAAAATAAAGTTTAGTTTGTTTTCTCTTTCCCAGCCCTGCCCTCTCCCTCTCCAGGTTTGGTTAGCAGTGGGCATATGAAGTGCCTTAAAATGCCTTCACAGAACTCTCCTCTGCCTGCTTCCTAAAAGAAATGAGACAGTGGGATTTGCCTAAAATGGGAGCTATCCATGGGTCGCACAGACCTGTGTCTCCAAGGGTTCACTTTGGCCTCAGTGGGAAGCAGGTCAGAACTCCCCTGGGGACTGATGAGGTAGGGTGTGATCCCTGGGCACCTGACTTTGAATGGGTAAGGGGAGGCTGCTCAAAACCACTCCCAAGAGAAGAGAACAGGTTTGTCTAAAAAGGTGTGTGTGTGTGTGGTTTCCTGTGGTCTTTTGTTTCTGCTATGCAAGAAAAATGGCTTGTTCTGGAATAGTTATTTGGTGTTTTTCTCTCTTCTCTTTCTTGAAAGGCATAAAATTCCTTTTTGCCTTAATTATGGGGGCTAGTAGAGACATTTCCCCACGGCCTGGCTGAGTGGGTGGGGGTGGGGGAGGTGCTAACTGCTTCTGCCTGGGCTCAGAGCCTTTCAGAAGTGATGTCACTCCTGGCTTCAGCTCCATAGGGAGGGTGGAGCCGGTTTAAGTCTCTACCTGTGGCTCATGGTGGGTTCCAATAAAACCTCATTAACCCAGACCGGTGGGGAGAGGATGGGAAAAGAAAGAGGCCTGGAAAGAATTAGTGAAAAGCTTGAATTTTGGGGGTATTTTATAGAGAAATCTTTTCTATTGCTGCAGAATTTGGAATTCTGAAATCCCTTAAGACTGAAGTATACAGGTTTTTTGTTTTTGTTTTTTTTTCAGGTAGTTAAGAATCCCTATTAACTTCAAAAGTACTCTTGCTTTGGGCATGGCTCTCTGAAATATTTATTTCCCTTTATTAACAGAAGAACGTTAACCATAATTGACTTCTGAATGCCAGGGTCCTCACTGTTGTCATTGTATGAGGTTATCTATGTCTCCTGAGTTTATTGAGCTCCGAAAAGTGCTTTGGCCCTGTGCCGGTGTACCTAGGTTGCTACACTTTGACTTCTGGTTTATTTTTTTCCCTCCTCCATCTCTGTCTGGTAGCAACCACAAGTGACATGGTGGGCCCAAGCACGGTTAGCAGCTTGTCGGTTCCATTCTAATTGGCACTTTTTTCCATTCTAAGAAACTAAGCAGACGTGTTAGAATCATTTCGAAGTACGAGTTTTCAGTTCTGAGTAAGGGTCTCAACTCTGAGTAATGTTCATGATCAGTGCTGTGTAGATCTTGTGCCTTCAGGGACCTCAGCTAGGACCTCTGCTACTAGTACCTCGAATGACAGAGAGGCTGTCAAAGGAGTTTCTTATGGGCTCCCTTGGTGAACAGATGTGAATGACCTGTGGGTGGGAGCACCTGTGACCCCATGTTCCTCTACCTGGCTTGGGTTGTAAGTGACTTGCCAGTGACAGATAGCCTGGACCCAGCGAGGCGAACTTGCCATAAATCCTGACTGACAAAGGCCTCGTTCTTAGCCGGGGTCCCGTCTGCACCCACTCATCATGTTGACTTGGACTGGAGTGTTAGTGCACCCACAGTGCTTGGCTGTCCAGCAACAGTGTTAGGTTAAGCAGAACCCCAGGACCGGGTCTCAACTCTGCCACCAATTTACCTCGTAATCTCGAGTGAGTCACTTCACTTCCAAATCTTGATGTCCCGTGTAAAGCGGATAATGTACCTGTTCTCCCTGTCCTCATTCTGTCATTTGCGTATTCATTTCATAATGAATGCATGAAAGTGTGTGGTAATGACACTGCCGGAGGAAAGTTAGCTGTCAGTGTAATTAGAGTTACCCTTAATTGAGTGCCTAACTTATTTAATCTTTACCCCCAACCTTTACACTCTATATTATTGCCCCATTTTGTGGGTGAAGCCTCTAGAGCTGAGTCTCTCCAAGGGGCAGACCCAGGATTGCGTGTGTGTGTTTTGAATGGAGAGGTCACTGGGGTGGACTGAGCTGGCCTTTTAGGCAAACCCAACATCCTGGGCTTGGGCTGGATTCATTTGATGATCACTTAGAGACAGGCCAGAGCTCCTCCCAGGAAGTGTAGGTCAGGAAACAGTAGGACCCGGGAGGGCAGGGTGGGGAGTGTGCACCTGGGGCTGACGGGGTGGTGGGGGGCATACTGTTCTAATGTTTGCCCCCAGGGCGGCAGCCAGCCTGCATTTTCTTTCATCTTGGGGTTGGGCCAACATTTGCAGAATAAGCCTGAGAGGTGTGTGCCATGGCACAAGCAGGGTTGGGGAACCCAGGACTCCTGGCTCCTGTGCTGGGTTCCACCTCCTGGCCCCCTCCAATGCCAGGTTCCGCTGCAGGAGCAGCCACCTGAGGGGTTGGTCATTAAATGGTTTCTAGCCCCCAAAGCCTGGTAGTTTTACAGAACAAACTCTTTCCTGATTTTCTCCTTCTTTTCAACAACCAATTTTGGAGTCTTGGGTTGAAAGTCCCCCCACCCCCAGGGCCTGTCTAAGTGTGTCTAGAGAGAAGGACTGGGATTAAGGGAGTCTGGAAAGAGGGTTTTGGCGCCGGGATCCTGCGCCCTGGAACAGAGTC